ACCAGCCCTACCAGCCATTCCCAAACACATGCCAAGGCTGAAACTGCCTCCAGCACTCAAAAGGTGCTTTTGCAGCTCAGCTTTCTGGCTCACACAACAGACCCATGCACACCTGGCAGGTGAGGTTTTTGCAAAAGCAACGGGAAGGCAGAACACAGAGGAGGGGAAGGAGGCTGCCAGTGGCTCAAAGCTGGCAGCTCTACACAAGAGACTTGTCCTACAAATCCTTGCAAGGCACTGCAATAAGGTCAGCAAAACCTGGCAAAAGCAAACAAGGCTGTGCTGGGAAACCCAGGAGGACAGCTCAGCTTCTCTTGTGCCTAATGAAAAGCAGAGTGAAAAGCTCCACTTGAGAAACACGCCCTGCAGGCTGAAAGCTTGTGAAACACTCATGTTAAAGAAAATGAGAAAAGAAAATAGTAATGTACCCCAATAAAGTTATGGTTTTAGAGAGGTGCCACTCTGATAACTTACAAAAAAGCAGCAGCCCTCCTTATGTAATCATGAGACGAATATGCTTAAGGAGACGGGAGGATGTAAGGTCAAGGTTTGACAGTAGAGCCACAGGTTTTATTTCCAATATCTATTTTCATGCCAAGATGGTGTGACCTGGGCAAGTCAGTATCAGGCACGTATTACATGAATTTGGACTTTCCCAGCCAATCTCAACAGATATGGAGTGCACAGGTACAAGCACTGGCCTGTGCAAACACTAATGCACACAATCCACAGGATTCACACTTAGATATCAAGGGTTTCACTTGCAAAACCCCTGCTGTAATTGGGCTGCAAATATAAATCCGGATCATGCTCACAAATGAGCCTGTAGCTGTTTATCGGTGTTATGCCCTTTATTTTGAGGGTGTGAGTCCACAGGTGCACGGGATATTAGTCCAGTGGAAACTTCACAAATGCAAATTAAGTTCTAAACTTGTCATCATGCTCCTTTTATATCAGGGTTGCAGGAAAAGCCATGAAACTTCTTTAGTTTTTCCTGCAATGGAGCACAATCTGCACTGCTGTCCCAGCAGCCTGGCTGGCTCTGATTTGTGCTGCGACAAAACCAAAAGACACAAGCAAACAGTGATATGGTAACCAAGCCATGGTCTCAGCCAGCAGAAGCCCTGTTCTGCTGAACCCATGGGAGACAAAATGACTCACATCAACCTGAGGATCTGCCCTGTGTGTCTAGTATGTGCTGAAAATGTGCAGCTGCTTAATGTCAAACTTACCCTCAGTCTCAAGCAATGATTCGATCAGAGGCTATTTGCAACTAGCAGAAATGCACCCATTTTGATACATAATCTGAAATTTAATGCTTGACGCCAAACAGGACCATATTGTCTCCAGAACTGGTTCTGCTGAGGGGCAAAAATTGCCACCATCCTCATTAGCAGGCAGATCTGCAACACAACAGTCAACCTGCAACACTAAATTAATGCAAGAAGAGACACAAGTTGGACTTAACGCACAGAGAAACTGCCCTGTGCAATTCAGGATCAGAGGCTGTAGTGTGTGCCCCCAGGCTCTCTGCAGGTATCTGAAATCCTTCCCACCATAGCGCACTTTCAGGCTTCCAGGAAAGCTCTCATTCAGCCCATCTACCACTTTTCAGCTTTGGTGGCATGTAATCTCCCAGACAGTTTTGTGCTCCATGCCACCTGGATACTTGTCCACATTCAGCATTACATGGAGGGATGCTCTAGACTGAGCACTTGTCATACAGAAAACTGTCATTAACTTAAATGCTATTTAGATTGTGGCAGTATAAGATATGGATATAGAAAGGGCGCCAACAGGCTAGAAGAAGAGATAGCAGTCACCTTCATTTTGGGCATGCTGCAATAAGCAAAACCTACATCTCTACTTGTAATGACAAATGTACGGGGCATTGTATGGCATAAAGGGCAGTGGAAAAGTTAAGTGCTAGTGTAACAGCCACTTAGGTCTTCAGGAGGGAAGGGAGTTATATAACTAATAATCATCTTTTTGCTGTTCCAAAGTTTGCACATGTTAGCAGAAGACAGGTTCCAGATGCCATCTTTTTCCAAGAGCCTAATTTCACTGGAGTTATTATTTCCTCAGTACTGCAGAGTTACCCAGAGAGAAAGATAACTTTGGCTCTTCTGTTGTACTTAGTGTTTTGGATATAGATACTTGAACAAGAAGAGAGAATGGAAGAAATTATCCCTGTCCATTCTGAGGAATTATGTGTGAGTACAGGCTTCTGAACTTGACCCACAATTTTCATGCACAAAGCACACTTTGAACAACAGAAGTGTGTGACTTGAGTGATATATTTGAGTTAATGAAGCCTTTAATCTACAGCATCCTGAAGCAGTGATTGGAGCTAACTGCTTAATGCAACCACACTGGGACACTTTCTAGCCTCCAATCTCAGTTAGCCATATCTCAGCCCACCCTCTCACAGCAACAGCTACAGCAAAGAATGTCAATGTCATAGCAAGAATGAACAAGTTCAGTTTGGAAAAATACATCATGGCATGTAACACTATGCCTAGGCTCTATCTGGCACAAATCAGCACAGCTTTTTGCTCAGTAGGACCAAAGCTTTTAGGCTTCTCCCAAAAGGTGTGACTGACATAAATGTTAATAAGATGCTGCTAGGCTTACCTAAGGTGATGACTCCCTCTCTTACTTCACAGAGTTCAGATGTTTAGAAATCTTCTCTATAATTCATTTAAATTGGTTTGTTTTTTATACAAGTGCCATATTTCCATAATTGTGATGTATAAATGTGCATGTTTACAAGCTTCCTGTGTAATAAAATCCCAATTTATGAGGTATTTAAGTAATGGGGAACATTACTTGAAAGCAAAATGAAAGCAACAATGTTGCATATAAAGAAAGAGAACAAATAAAATTACCCTCTCTACTGTAAGAGTTTCCTCTAACTCAGATGGTTGCTAACACTTTATTAATTACTGCAAAAATAATACATCCTCTATTTAAGAAGCAAAGGCTGAAATAGTTTGATCTGGCTTTCCTGTTCTCAACAGCAGTTTGAGGATTAGGAAGCACACTTTCTAATAATAAACACTTAGAACTATGCTTAGACCTACTACTGCTACAACTGCCCATAGAGCAGACTATCTAAGCAATGTGATTTGCATCAGGTTTCTACACTCATTCGAATCAGTGTGGTTTGGCCCCTCTTCAGAAGCTCAAACAACATCTAATCCACTCCCCAGCCCTATTCAGTATTTGTTACTGGTAAATACCTTTCCAGATCATACCCTTCAGGATTTTCACCCAGTATTTGTAAGTAGCCTTCATACTCCCCCACGGTGACATCCTACATCTCCCCAGGGGGTCAGTAAGGACTGTTCTCAGGAGGGTTGCTGGCTGCTTCCCAGCTAATGGGGACAGGACCAAGGGCTTGATGTGCTTGATGCAGCCGAAACAACATATTCTTCCCCAACCCAGCTATCTCTGTTTAAAGATGCAAATACAACAGAGTATAAAAGGGAAAGGATAGGGATTGTTAAAATACAGCTTCTATGCAAAAACCTGTCCCATACAGGGAGTTTCACCTCTCTCCCACACATAGGATTGTGTTAGCCCAAGTAAGTCATGCGCAGAGGGGATGTTGTAGGCAAGAGCTCATAGTTCATCTTGCTCAAAAGGACACACTGATACCACCTATAAATGCCCCCCAGAAAAGACATATTCTCAGATAATTAATGTCTTTATATTTCCCATGCCATGTTTTCCTCAAGCGGGTACAAAGCCCTGTGCTAAGTTTAGCCCTAACATTAGGGAAAAAAATAGTGTCCCTTTGAGCAAGGAACATTATGTAAATGCCAAAACAACTGTGTGTCTCCAGGCACATCTCCTGCACACCTGTGGCCCTACAATCACAGTGCCTGCTGGGCAGAAACATCCTTAGGGCAAGGGCTATCTCCCACAAATGCACCCTAAAAGCTGCTTAACCAATATCAGGAGGGAAAAAACAAAGCCAAAACAGGACAAAAGTCACTAACAAGACAGTCTTAGAAAGGGCTTTAACTAAAATGGGACCACTGATGATTGAACAAGAACAGAATTAAACCTCATAGAATCATAGAATAGTTTGGGTTGGAAGGGACCTTTAAAGGTCATCCAGTCCAGCTGCCCTACAATGAGCAGGGACATCTTCAACTAGAGCAGGTTGTCCAGCCCATCCACATCCAGCCTGGCCTTAAATGTCTTCAGGGATGGCGCATCCACCACCTGGGCAACCTGTGCCAGTATTTTACCACCTTCTTTGTAAAGAATTCTCTCTTCACATCCAGCCCGAATCTCCCCTCTTTTAGTCTAAAACCATCACCCCTTGAACTATCGCAACAGGCCCTGCTAAAAAGTCTGTCCCAATCTTTCTTACAGGTCCCTTTTAAGAACTGAGTTAATAAGAGCACTCTAGAGCCTTCTCTTCTCTAGGCTGAACAACCCCAAGTATCTCAGCCTTTCCTCACATGGGAAGTACTCTATCCCGCTGATAATTTCTGTGGCCCTTCTCTGGACCCTCTCCTACCCTTCCTGTACTGAGGACTCCAGAGCTGGAAGCAGTACTGCAGGTGGTGTCTTGCAGAACAGAGGGGCAGAATCACCTTCCTTGACCTGCAGGCCTTCTTTGCACCTCACATACCCATGAAACAAATGCACCATTTATTAGTACTGCTTTCCAACTGCAGGCCCCCAGCATACACGGCTTCATGCAGAAAAACCAGCTCTTAATCAAAGCAGTATCAAGAATAATAATTTGTAAGCAGGATGCTCCTGCTTGCCCAGCAGAGTAAACAGTGAAAGCTTCCCTCCAAGGTGACTTCCAACCAGAGTGAGCATTGCTCGCCAGCTGGTACAGGGCTGGCAGGCGAATGCATCTCCTCTGCCACAGCCCAGCACTATGCAAGTCTAGACTTTGGCATCAACAGGACCCCAAAGCTTTATGCCAGCTGAGGACCTGGCACAATATGTTAAAAGGTATTTTAGCCCCAGACGTGTTTATCTGTGGGCATGATCCCCACACAGCACATGCAAATTGTGCAGCATCACGGACAGCAGCTTGGCTAGCTCTGCATGACGATGAGGTCTCTCCTTGTGCACAGGGCAGACATGCCAAACCCTCCAGGCCATGATGCATGCCTGGCAACCAGCACAAACAAGCAGACCTAGCCATGATCTCTCCGTAGCTTCCTCTTCATAACCGATGCATCCTTGTGTGGTTTTTTCCAGCTATCAGTTGTACAGCAGCCCTGGAGCTCACAGTTCCTGATTCTCATCACAAGAGTGTCCTAAAGAAGAAAGAGGGGGACACAGAGGAGACCAGGCTGTGTGTAAGTAGTCAGGGCTATCTGCTGCAGTTATGTACAAAGCCCACTGCTTTGAGAAAAGGAAGCAAAATCATGTCACTCTCAGCTGTGCTCTTCTAGTGTTCTCCCCACTAAGGGTGATGTTGCAGTGTACTGGGAGAGGACATACACTGTAGACAAATCAGCTCCTCTGGCTAACTTGATTATGCCTCAGGTGCTGCCCGCAAAGACAGCATCCCCACCATGTGTCATAGCAGTGACAGCCATGCTGGCTCCAAACACCTCGTCTATCTCTGCATCAAAAGGCACTGTGTTACAGAGATAAGGCCTGGGCCCTGGGGATAGCACCTAGCTGTGGCCAGACCCAGTGCTGTTCCCTTCAGCAAGTGACCCTGCGTGTCACCCCCTGCGCAGCTCCAGCTGGCAGCTGTGCACAGGCTGCACCATGTTCCTGGGCAGCGCATGCTGATACACGACTCTGTTTCAGCCTGCCCTTGGCAGAGCACCACCCAGCCAGTGCCAGAGGAGCACAGTGAGCTCCTTCGGAGAAACAGTGATGTGAAAACACACTGAAGGTGATGTGCAAAGAACTGCTCCTTAACAGACTGAAGGCTTGCAGCTCTTTATGAGCTCTTTGGAGGCTCAGACACCCTCTCCTCCTACCTCTACAGTCATGGCAAACAGCTGCAGCTCTGGTCTGCAGCTGCCAGTCTTATCATCCCTCCAGCTCTCCAGAGCTTCACACCTGCATTAGTTGCCTTTGGTGAAGCAAAGAGTCAGTATGTCAGAGATGCAACCAGAGCAGAAATGAGATTTGTTACACACCAAAAGGGCAAATGAAGAAAGCAGAAGGGTTTTTTATTTTCCTTCCCAAGTTACATTACTAAATTGTAATTTCTGGTGTAGGCAAACCCAGTCTGAAGGATGTACACCCTCCCCGAACCATACTTTTGCTTTAGTCCTTGCCACCTCTCAAAGCTCGGTTGAAATATACTCTGCAAGACCACTCTGATTTACTAGCCTTAACAGTGAAGTACTGCCTCCTGTGCATTATAGAACAAATCCTGCCAGGGCTTGAGCCATTCCACTATTGTCATAGCATAAGATTTTAGTTCCAAGGTATACGTATGCAATTCACTGTAACCAAAAGCATTACTTAAGGTTGACTTTAGCTTATGGCACAGAAACATACAAATACCAAAACCTCTTTAGTTACTTTTGAAAGCACACATACACACACACAAAAAGGTTTGGCACTACAGTGTTACAATCTGCAAGCTACTTCCCTCTGTCTCTAAAGATAAAAGTCACCCCAAGGCTGCTGATGAACTTACCAGGTACATGTTAATAACTGGAGGAAAATTCATCTTAAGTATCAGACTACCAGCTGCTGTGCAGAGCTGGCAAAGCAATTTGGAAGTTCCGAACCCTAGGTTTATTAGTTGGGAACAGGGAAAGGACAGGATTTCTAGCTGCAAGAGAGGCCATTAACTGAAAAATTTTCAAACAGGATGACAATGGATCCAGCAGTAGCTGTTCGGTGCTGCAGCGAAGCAACAGGCAACTTTTCCACCAAAAGTTAGCTCTCCTTAGTTAGTCTGCTGGGATACTCAGACAAATCCCTCACTCTGTAGAAAGCGGAACATGCACAGTAGTATGCCTGACAGCACAGCTTCTTTGCCATTCTCACTGAAACCACTTTCTCTTCTTTCAGCGCTGGAACACCCCTCCACACCTTCACCTGCAGGGCCAGGACCCGGCATTGCTGGCAGGAGCCAAGGCTACTTCAGTTACCAGGTCTGCTCCATTAATCCAGCTGCGCTGCTATACACGTCACCTACTGACATGACAGCAGCAAGTCGCTATTTCATTGCTGGTTACATTAATTAAGCATCGTGACTCCCCCATGAGACAAGCAGGTGACACCATACCTGCCTCATGCCATTAGATGCTGGGAGCGCCAGACTGGCTTGTCTGGGGCGACCAGGTCCCGGTGGGAGGCCACGCAGCCTATGGAAAGGTCTGCCCAGCGCGGTGGCCGGCACAAGCCCTGGCCTAAGCCGTCACCTGAAGCGCGAAAGCTACCTCGGGATGGTGAGGCGGAGGTGGCTGCAGGGCGGGAAGGTCGCGGCAGGACGATGCTCCCGGGCGCTGCCGCGGGGCGAACCCAGAAGCGTTCTGCGTGTAGCAGATGCGTTTCGGTTTTGCTACACACAGATGTGGAGGAGCGGGCGGGCAGCGGGGGGGGGGAGGCGCACCACTGCAGCAACAGCTGCCGGCGCGCGACGAGGGCCGCGCGAGAGCCGGGCTCGCAGTGGACTGGGGGCGAAGGGGAGGGGGCGTCCGCCAGTAACGACTGCCTCACAGTCGGGGCGCGGCGGCGGGAGCCCTCGGGGGCAGCGCCGCGGGGACCGGGCAGGGGACAGCGGCGCGGAAAGAGGAGGGAAGGGGATACCACACGGGGAGGCCATGGGACGGGACGCGGGTCCCGCTCCCGCCACCCGCTGCGCGGCCCGTACTCACCACGGTGACGGGGGACACCATGGCGGCGGGGGCGCAGTGCTGGTGGTGGTTGGTGGTCGCGGGGGTGCTGATGGTCGCGGCTGCTGCCGCCCGCGGTGCTACCGGTGCCAGCGCTGCCGCCCACTCGCTGCCCGCCGGGGCGCTTTTTTAGACAGTTGTGACGTCACTGGAGAGGGGCCCCCCGCGGCGAATGCGCTGAGGGCAGCCCGAGGGGGCGGGCCCGGCTCAGCCTCACCCCGGGCCCGCTGCCCGGCGAGCGCGCGGCTCGCTCTGCTCCCGGCCGCCGCGTCAGTGGCGCGGTCCGCCCCCTGGAGCGGCGCTCGCCGGGCAGCCGGCAGCGGCTGGGTCCTTCGCCGCGGTCCCGCCCCGTCCCGCCCCGGGGGTGGCCGCAGTGGGAACGGGGCTTGCGGCTTGCCGTGGGGAGGCGGCGGGGATGCGGCAGCCCCTGGGAACTGGGCCCTGGAGGGAGCGCAGAGGTTCCCTCCCAGCACCCCGCGCTGCCCCCTGTGTTGTAGGTCCCTATTCCGGCCGCTCGCTCCTGGGCGAGAAAAGCGTCGGCCCGTTCCTCAGCACGGCTTCCCCGCACGCCGAGGGGTGCCAGTGGCCGCGTGTGACACCCGCCCGTCGGTAAACGCTGCGCAACGGCAGCGCCTCGGAGGCTTGAGGACATCCCGGGCAGGGCAGTTCCCCCGTCGGGAGCTGCCGGTGCCGGCAGGACCAGACACGAGGCAGGACTGCATACACCCCATACCCCTCGCTCTGTGTCAGGTCCTTCCCGTCCCGCCGTCCTTCTCCGGCACTCCTGCCTGTGCCTGCATAGCCCCAGCCCCAGCCTTTCTCCTCCCTTGCCTTCCGGCTGCTTCCCGCCCACCACCCTTCTCCTCTTTCTGCCCGTCTTTTCACATCCCTATTTCTTGCACAGACCCGTGGGGCCTTCCACGCTTTCTGCTCCACCTTGACTTCTCACCACCCACCATTTCCCCATTTTTCCTTTTCTAGTGGCTTCTCTCAGTCCACAGTTGCCTGCTTCCCATTGCCCCCATCTTAACACCTGCAGATGTTTGGCAGACCCTTTCACCTCAGAGCTGGCCATGGCTTCCAGCTCTCTCCTTGCTCACAGCAGCTGGTAATGGTCCCTGTGCCCCCCAGGAGCGGGTTCCTCCCAGCTCACCTCCCCATCCCCATCCTTCTGCCAAGGTCATCCAGAGGCTGAGGAAATGTTAGTGTTGGCACAAAGACAGGGTGAGGAACATGTAATGTGAGATACTAGAGAGTGGGACGCAGAAGCTCAGGCTCATTAAAGTGACCCTAGGACTACCTGTACTAGTCTGTTCGTACTTGAGAATTAATACTTAAGGATGCAGGAACCTGCCTTACATGTAATACAATCCTGCTCAAAAGTTTTACTTCATAACAAATCAAACAGGTACTTAAATAGTACATGATTAATCTGCTATTTGCAGTCTGAGCAAAAGTCATGATCAGTATTTATCACAACAAGGGAACATTTTCTTCTATAAAGTAAAAAAAAAAAAAAAATAGTGTAATAAAAGCTGTGCAACTCTTTGCAGTGTCTGTGCAGTACATCAGTATTTTATTTCCAAGGACAGAATGTATACAAACAACTGCCTCGAGACTCACAGGGGCATCCTGATTTGTATCAATAGAGATGTGTGAATAGAGGGCAGTGTTTGACCCATCACCACCCAATAGGACTGAGGTGGACACTGAAGCCTGTGCCTCCTTACCAATCTGAGAGGATTTCTACCCAAACAAAAGAAACTACAGATCTGCACTATCAGGTGCAGATACCTATCTATCACACTATCTAGAGAGGCATTCAGTGAAATCTATGGCAAGTAAACCTCAAGCAGATCAAAGCAAACTGTTCTCTGTACAGCAAAGACCTGCGTGGCCACAGCCAGGGGTTTGAGTGCTGTTCTTACATTTTCAGTTCAAACAGTTCATAGGCAGTAATACTTCCCTTAAGCAAGAGAAGGGTAAGCTTTCCCTTTCAGGGGGAAGCTAGGTGAACTACAGAATGGGAAGAGATTCCACAGCTTTTCACAAAAGAGGCTTTTCCCTGCTAAAATCAAGGTGGATGGTCACTAGCAGAAGCAGCACAAGGAAACAGGTATTTGGATGTCCAAGGATGCAGTTAATTTGATATCATACAGGGTTTTCAGAAGGACCAATGAGTCTCAAAATTTGGGTTCCTAATTGCTTTTGAAAATCCTTCTGGGAGCTGGATTATGTCTTGCCATTTAAATACCTAAAAAACCCAAACCCAAAACCTGTTCCTTGGTCCTCAGCCAAACTCTTCCTCTGCTTATTCTGCCCTTTATTGAAGAGACTAGCCAGGCAGTACAACGGGTAGGGGCTTGTTTGCACTCTTGTAATGTCTTGTCCTGCTCCAGGAGTGGGAGATGATCTTAGGATGGATGCAGCTTCGCATTTGATCTTTTTTTCTAAAGCAGTATCTGTCTTCCCTGGTTACCATCTGAAGCTTCCCTTGGTCTCGCAAATGAGGTATTCCTGTGTCATTGATGCAAGCATTCAAAATATGTTAACACTGGGGTGGACTTTCATGCTATGTTATTAGCTCAAAGAAACCTACCAGAAGTGAAACAGTGCGTGTCCTGACTTTTCCGTCTCAAACAAGCACTGGGAAACTCAGTCTCAATAGTTTTGTTTGGCAGGGGGCTGACCATTTCTGACTTCCAGACAGCTCCTTCCACAAACCTTTTTGAAACAGAGATTCAGAAGTCCTTATGGTAAACAGGGTATTTGCATGTAATAAGGAGACGGCTTCTATTACAAAGATTTCGCAAGCTGAATATAAGCTGAAAATTGTTGTTGTTGTTTGTTTAATACTAGATTTAATTTCATGTGACTCACAAGATTATTCATGGGATTGTGTCCATTTTCCCACTATCAAAACAAGTGCTTCATCAAGGATAAGTAATTCCTTGTAAGTGAGGGACACCTGGGAGGATAAATTAGGAATTTGCATAAAGCAGAAGTATTTTACAGTTTATCTAAATCCAAGCTCATATAGTCCAGGTCCTGGCACAAATCCATTCCCACTGTAGAAACAAAGGCAATAGATGAGGCAAATGAAGTGAATACAGGATCAATGGCTTCATAACACAGTCAAATTTGCCTTGGCGTGTGCATGCCACACTTCTGATGTTTTTTTTTTGCTGGTGGTGTTGCAGTCTCCCGTTCTGACTAGTGCAGGCAAGAGAGATCTCGTGGCCCATCACATTTTGTTCTGTATCAACTGCAAGGATTTAACAAAAAATAGAAAATAGTTCTAATTTGGGGTGTGTGGTATTTTTAACTTGCTATCAGTAGGCAAAGAGATCAGTAATGACTTGAGCATAAATGTATGGGGGTTGGGTATAGCAAAACAGAGCATTAAGTATTTCTGTGCGTATTTGTGCTTGAGAATGCTTCTGCTGGGCCATGTTTGTGGTGTGCAGGGTTAAAAAAAAAGAAGCCAAGAGAAGTCCCATCTTCAGCAAGGCTGCTCTGCTGCCATTTTTTTCTTGAAGGATCCTATGTTGTTCAATCTAGTGCAGTAGCTCCATGACTCAGATGCGCATAGGATTTCTGTTTAGAATTAACTGCTGTACATTTCACTAATAGCTTGACCCTTTTTCTTCCTGTCCCTGGTTTTGTTTTTTTTTTCCACTGTTTTATTCTCCTTTTGGATAAATGTCAGCCCATGGACCCCACCAGTCCCTAGCTGGGACTCCCACCCAAGCCCACTCTGTCAGGAAGTATCAGAACTCTTGTGTTGTTAAATGCAGTTCAAACACACACAAAAAAAGGCAGATTCTTCCCAAAGGTGATTGCCTTTGCAGTGAAGGGTCTGTGGATATTTGCATGACATAGAATAAATGTGTGTTTATAGGAACATGCTGGGACAACCACAAAGTTCTCTGTTTTCTAGCTGTTTCTTATTCAGGGAGGTTTCTCTAACTCCAGCAATGGCTGGAAGAGCAGCAGAACATTTCTCATATTCAGGTGCTTCTGAAATGAGGCAGGTCCCATCTGCTGGAACAGGCTTTGCCAACAGGCCATGGAGCACATGCTTTGTTTTGCACTTTCAGATTTACTATTAATGCAGAAGTGCCTGGAATTAAACTACTGAGGATCCAGAAACAAATGTGTCATTTAGTGCTGGAAAAGTTTCATTTGAGACTTACCCATGTGAGATGCTCCTGAATCACCTCCTTGCTGGCTGCTTCAGAGCACAGTGCATCCAGATCCTAGGATGGCAGTGTCCCTGTCAGCCACTGTGGGATACATCCAGTGTGGCTTTCTGGTTTGTGATAGCCAGCTCTATTTAAGCCAATTTGTGATTTGCATACTGGACATAGTGCTAGTTCCTGAAACGTCTCATGTCAAGTAATCTGGTGTTTGTTCCCCTGTACATGAGTGCGTTTCCTTTCTACACAGATTTATTTCCTGTCCTTCAAGAACTGCCAGCTCTGTCCAGCTCCTTTGTCCCTGAGGGCTATTTCCCATCCATTAATTCCTTAAACAAATGGAAGTTTGCTCTCCTAAAATTCAAGGTCCTGACTCTACTCTTCATTTGGCCCATAACCGTCAAGATTGTGAATTTTACCATGGTGTGAACACCTCAGCCAGGCTGCCACCCATCTTGTAATCTTTAATCAGTTAATCTGTGTTGGTGAGAAGTAGGTCTAGTAGTGTTTCTGATGTTCCTCCTCTGGTCAGGCTATTACCTGGACCTGGTTTTATCCATGTCCGCTTGAGAAGGGATTTTGTGTCAAAGTAGTTGAGCAGTTTATTGGTGAATGGAATTCAGCCACCAGCTGCTGGCAAAAAGAAAAAGGTGGTGGTGGATTTCTCATCCCCTGACATTGCAAAGGAGATGCACATTGGCCACCTGAAGTCCACTATCATTGGAGAAAGCATGTGCTGGATGTTCGAATTTGCAGGATATGGTGTTTTGTGGTTAAACCATTTAGGAGACTGGGGCACACAGTTTGGAATGTTCATTGCTCACCTCCAAG